GATGACTGTTATTGGCTTACCGTGGGTTTCATACTTCATTCAAGAGACATGGTACATACATGTTATTAGTATTCCAATGCAGTAAGCTTTGTCCTAGTGCCCCACAGATATTTCATCCTATTCTGTTTTATGCCTCACAAGTAATAAATATCTTATTTTTCTGCATACTTTTTTCATTTCGACATGCTTCCTATCACACTTTCTCCATTATATTTAATGTTATTTTTGTCAAATCCTCGTGGCCACTTTACCTTTCTTGTACGTTCAGGCATCTGACGTTAACTAAGGGCTTAAATTCCAACTAAGCATTGACATGTTTACTGTGACTTGTACATGGTAAAAAGTATGAAAATCTTCTAACTCAAATTCGTTCGTGTTGTCTCTACTGTGGATGAGATAAGATAACGTCAATTAACGGTTTGTACTTTTATCTACCAAAAGATACTAAGTTGCTTCCTAATTTCCCCTTGCTTTAGTATTGTGAAGACATCTTTCTAGGATGTCAGAGTAACAAATAATCTTTTCTCAGATAGGATTTTTCTGTCGAGGTCTAGATATGTCTTAGTATAAATTCAAATTTATCTGCTATCTTCCAAGTTTTTCGTTAATGGGGTAATAGGAACGTTTTTAAAATGTTCATTTAAAAAATTAAGCAGTATAATTAACAAAGCTTACACATCCATATTCCACCATGGTTACTGATGTGTTAATTTCTGTTATGAACCTATGAAGAGGCACGACTGAGTAAGCTTTTGGTCCTCACAACATTAAATGTAAAGTCTCAATAAGTCAGAAGTAAGTAGTAGGTGCTCCATTATTTTCCGGCATACCACTTATTTTCTGACCATTTTTCCGATTCCGTCTTATACTACTAGACAATATGTCTTGAAGAGATGTTTGCTTTGCTTCAAGAGCGAATTGTCTAAAATGCAGATCAGTGTTTGAAACTCAACTTGTTTGAACAAGTAGATTACTGGTCATTAACGTGACCCCGTTCTATATAATCAAGGTACAGTATTTGAATAACATCCCATTTTCAGTCAGACAAACAGTTACAAAGATCATTTTCAAGTGGTCGTAGACCTTGTATAGGTAACCAATCAGTTATTTTACTGAGAATTGCAAAATCAATATTTGTTGTTTTTCCCAATCATTTTTAATTACGGTTCTTGAGTTAGTGCGATTTCTATCTTTCTGTAAGTAAATTATTCTTTTTGCTCTAAAAATCACTTCATTTTCAGTCGAAACTTCTGAAGGCCCTCATTCTCCATTATCACAACTAGGTGGACACACAAAGCAGATTAGAAACAACGTTACAACATCTACTGTTCCAGGTACTGCTCTCTTCCTCGGTGTTGGAGATACTGGTCAACTTGGTTTGGGACCAGATGTAACAGAACGCTCAAGACCTGCGCTCCCAAGTGCTACGAGTCTTGGTGCGTTGCAAACAACTAAAGAAAATTCTTTTTCGTATTTCACACAAATATGTTGTGGGGGCATGCATTCTGTCTGCCTGACAACTAATGGTACTGTTGCTACCTGTGGTTGCAATGATGAGGGAGCTTTGGGTAGACCAACGGGTATGGAGTCTGGATCCTGTGATTCGTCTCCATGCGATCGCAATGGTTCTTACCCTATTGTAGATGAGTGTCATCTTGGACTTATACCGTTTCCAACGAAGGTGAAGATAGTTATGGTGAGTAACTGACAAACATTTCAACATATTAAAGTTAATTTTGGCCGTATTGTTTATTTTCATACGTGTGTAAATCCAGTGATATTTATTCAATAAATAGTAACCAGTGCCATAGTGTCTATTCGTCGATACTAATTGATTTCTACCTGTCGACTTTTTTAAGGTAGCTTGAGGTCACAGAACGATGCCTTGAAACTAAATGGTTGAAGGTAGTTGATGAAAATGCACATCTAAATGCATCTAAGTTTCATGTAACCATCATTATCCATAACCATTGAAAACAAGCCACATTATACTCTAAAAAAAGTTCTGAATCATTGCATGGAAGCTCCTGACTGGTTACACCTGCGTTTTTTGAGTCTTCAGTCATGGAAAATTATAATCTAGCTTGTCCTTTCCTAAGGATTTGTTTTGTAAATCATTCAAATACGCAAACCCCGTATATAGTATAGTGTTCTTCAATATTGTTTTATTATTATTATTATTATTATTATTATTATTATTACTATTATTATCATTGTCATTATCATTATTACTATTATTTAAACATAAATATATGTACAAGGAGGCACCAAATAGATATGCGCTAGACAAATCATTCGGTTTGTGTGTGGGCTGGGATGCTACCTTGGTGCCCAAACTGAAACAGGTGGTTTTCTTAGGGAGCCACACCCGGAGCCTTCGACCTAAAGGTCTGATCCACAAGGCAGTGGAGCAACGTAAGGAGATGCAGTGCCATGGTAGCCGGTCAATAACGATTGGTTCATACGCCATTTGTTCTTTTAGAATCCTGGAGCCCATATACACCATTGTTTTGAAATCAGGATTTTCCAACTCCCCTAGTTGGACTCTCCGTGTCCACCAACCGCAATATTGTTTACTTTGTAGATAACATTAGTAATAGCGGACAGATTAATCTACTGAATGATTAAAGATATGAAAACTTTCTCCTTATCCTGAAAGTATTGTTATACAAATATCCCTGCTCAGATATGATTTTCACAATTCTAAATGCTACGATTTGACAATTATGTAATTTATTCGTTCAAAACCATTGTTTGCTCACTATAAGGTCCGGCTAGACCTTACTAGTGTAAAATACACAGCCATTGTCCTGTTTGGCGGAGGTACTGACAAGATTCAATCCTCGGATCACCTTGAGCAACAATGCAACCATATTTGAAATGCTTATCCGAACACAAGATGTTGCTTCAGAATTGGTCTTCACCAACACCTAAGGTGATGATGAAGAGTGAAGTAGTTGAGGGCATTGAACACTTCACTTATCTTGGAGGTTTCATTAGCCCCGATGGGTTGGTGCATGGTGAAATATCGACACATTCAGAAAGCTTGGTCAGCTTCTGTCAACTTGCATCACTTGTGAAGTAAACGATACATAGATCTATCAACTAAAGGGCAAGTATACTGGGTAGCAGTTTATCCTGTTCTTTATGACTGAAATGTAGCATTTAACAATAGATATCCTTGTGTTACTAGTATTCCATCGTAGATGTCTTCGGAGTAATTTTTGTGTATTTTGGGCCCACCAAGTTAGAAATTCTGAGGTTAGACAGAGGCTACTAGATGTGTATGATAAATCTGTTAATGAGGTAGCGAAAGTTCATTGACTGACGTGATGACTCGGATTTATTCATTCTTCCGTAATCATTTCTTGTATTCATAGTATTTTATATCATCATTAATACCGTTACTATTTGTACTAATCTAGTATTTAATGACTTTCTACTATTTTCAAGGTTGTTTGGTGGGTTTATAGAATAAGTAAACTAACCGGCTCATTGTTTCTTTGCTGTTTAGGTTTCCGCTGGTGATAGTCATACTGCAGCCTTAGATACCAATGGTCAGGTATGGTTGTGGGGAACGTTTCGAGGAGCTAGTGGTCCTATAGGACTTACACAACCTGGGGAGATTTGTTCAACTCCGCGACTGTTACTAGCTTATTCTATGAACAGTTCCAGTGAGCACAATGATGGTGTTTCAAACAATGAATCCAAGTTATCTAGTCGATCAACAAATACAGCGCTTTTAACTTCTAGTACACACGTAGTAAAAATTGCTTCTGGACAAGACCATTTGGTTTGTCTGACAGATGAAGGTCGTCTCTACACTATGGGATGTGGTGAACAAGGTCAACTGGGTCGTGTTGCTGAACGGTTTGCTAAAGATGGTGGTCGTTCAGGGATTAGTAAGGAAAACATTTTGATATATTTTACCTCTTTTACTGTAATATTAAACTGGTGTTTAGAAAATTGGCTTGTGATAGTTTCTGTAGACAGTCATTAAAGTTGTCGAATTTAAATTGTATCCACGTTCAGACATTCATGTTTTGGATCGTTACTTTTGCTTGCTTTGGATCCACTCTGTCTTTCATTAAATCTCGGGTTTATAAATTACCCCATAAATTTTGTCTCAATTCCACTATTCGTTATTTTATTTTTAAGTCGTATCGTCCTCCCCTAATCTTTTCTATTACCAATAATCCTGTTACTACTTCTACGGCTCTGAGATTTGCCTTAACTTACTTTAGATGTACTGATGCGACAGGTCCTATGTTGCGTCTGACTGGTTTTACGCTTACTTCCTTTCCATTATGATATCGGGAGGATCGAATTAACTAAACTTGTATTGTAGTTACATCTCCATATCGTCATCCCCCTTTATCCATCAGATCCCAGGTTCGAACAATTATCTACCTAATTCGGTCCGGACATTGGGTGGCACTATTATACATCAAACAAGATGTATGGTACAAAGCAGCTGAGTATATAAACTTATAATTGATAAATGAAATGCTCCAAAACTCAAGTCTATACACATCCTATCCCAACGGCCAGTATACATTCATTTTTATTGTATATGGTTTGAGCTTTTACGAAAATAAATCTACTATTTTAATGAAGAGTGGGTTAAACCTGCTGCTGATGAGGGCAAACAAAATGGTCGAATGTGCTTTTTTGGACTCAGGTTGGGTATCTATTAGATGATCTCTTTGGCTTCTTGTTTTACATCCATCCATCTCTAATATTAGCTAATAAAATCGAAACTTTTGTGTATACTTTAAACTGGTCGTCTTGATAGAATACCTGAAGATTTGTAAACTATAATTTCTCAAGAATTTATTCTAAGCAATTGATTGTTTTTCAAAGCGACAAAGGTAATTTCCATGGACATAGAGTTCATCATTTGTGTGTGGGCTGTGATACTGCCCGGGTGCCCAAACTTTTCAGTGGACAACGAAGTGAACGCCATCAACGGATTGATGTTAGCAAGCTGGTTGCAACTTCTGTTGCAAATAAGTATCGAACCGAGCTAGCCTCTAGGCTAGCTACCACTCCACCGAAAAGTATAGATGAGCATTGGTTGCAATTGCATGACGCCATGAAAATGGCGGGAACAGTCAGTTGTGGGTTTGCGAAACGTCCCGCTTTTAAGCACTGGGTTTCTTCTGGTTCCTTACAACTCATTGAAGCCCGTCGGTCTACTCCGGGTAACCGTGAGTTTGACCATAAACGAAGGATTTTACGTAAGGAAATCGGGCAAAGCTTGCGTAAGGACCGAGAAGCCTGGTGGTCGATGCGTGCTAATGAGCTGGAAGCAGCAGCTGCATCTGGTAACTACCGGAAGCTCTTCCAACTCATCCGAGCCACTGGCAGCAAGAAGTCTGGTGTGAGTGAAACAATCTGCGAGGGTGATGGGATGCCAATCACTAACATCCATCGACGTCTTGGACGATGGGCAGAATTTTTCGAAGGGCAGTTCAACTGGCCTGCTGCTCCGGCAACATCGGTCAGACTGTCCTGCCCTCCATGGCCGGTGACGACTGATCCACCAAATGAGGAGGAAGTCCGCAAGGAACTCCAACTCTTGAAGCGTTACAAATCACCTGGCCCAGATGACTTACCTCCGGCTCTTTTTAAACATGGTGGTGACTTTCTGACTAAGGAATTGACGACGTTGTTTACAAAGGTTTGGGAACTAGAGAGTGTACCAACGTCATGGAATGAGTCGATAGTTGTCCCTATCTTTAAAAAGGGTTCACGTCGTTCTTGTAACAACTATCGGGGGATAAGTTTACTTCCGATTGCGTCCAAGCTATTGGCTTCCGTCATACTTCGTAGGTTGTTCAAAACCCGAGAAAGATTGACTCGCGAGGAGCAGGCTGGGTTTCGTTCTGGTCGAGGATGTATTGATCATATCTTCACCCTCCGCCAAATGTTAGAACACCGCCATACTTTTCAAAGGCCAACAATCGTAGTGTTTCTTGACATCAGGGCTGCCTTCGATTCGTTGGATAGGACTGTTCTCTGGGATTGTCTATTGAAGAAGGGTGTGCCTGAGAAGTTTATTAACATCCTAAAAGCCCTGTATAAAAACACCTCAGGCAGAGTGAGGGCATACAACCACCTCTCTCCATTGTTCCATTCGAGCAGTGGGGTTAGGCAGGGTTGCCCAATCTCACCATTCCTCTTCAACTTTGCCATCGATGACATTCTGGAAACAGCTCTGATGAATGTAAGTAATGGTGGTGTGGATCTGTTGCCTGGAGAAAGACTTCTCGACCTTGAGTATGCGGACGATATTGTCTTACTGTGCGATAATGCTCAAGCCATGCAATCCGCACTTAATCAGTTGGCAATCAATGTCCGTAGGTATGGTATGTGCTTTGCACCTTCGAAGTGCAAAGTACTTCTACAAGACTGGCAGGATTCCAATCCTGTACTCACCCTGGATGGTGAGCAGATAGACGTAGTCGAGAAGTTCGTGTATCTGGGTAGCTGCATAAGTGCTGGTGGGGGTGTGAGTGATGAGATCAATGCACATATAGTGAAAGCCAGAGCGGCTTATGCCAATCTGGGCCACCTTTGGCGCCTTCGTGATGTTAGTCTGGCTGTAAAAGGCCGGATCTACAACGCGTCGGTGAGAGCAGTTTTGCTCTATGCTTGTGAAACCTGGCCTCTCCGAGTTGAGGACGTTAGACGACTCTCTGTGTTCGATCATCGCTGTCTCCGAAGGATTGCTGACATTCAGTGGCAACACCATGTCAGTAATGCAGAGGTTCGGCATCGTGTGTTCGGGCACATAGACGATCGTACAATTGGTGCCACCATCTTGAAACACCGACTTCGGTGGCTTGGACATGTTCTACGAATGTCGTCCCAGAGAATTCCACGTCGTGCATTATTTGCCGACTCTGGGACTGGTTGGAAGAAGCGGAGAGGTGGTCAGTGCATGACATGGTGTCGTGGCATGAAAGAAAGCTGCAAAGGACTGGCTTGTGTTGGTCCTTCACGACTCCCTGGCTGGGGTCCGAGAGATGGTGCAACACAGTGGCTAGAGACGTTATCAGATATGGCTCAGAATAGAAGCCAGTGGCGATCCTGCTGTAACCTTCTTTTACTTTCTTCATAAAAAGTGGTTGTATCTTCCTTAACTGAAAGATTTCTTCTGATTGTACCTCTTCGTCATTACTCTCTCTTTCTTTTGCGTTCCTTAGTTTTTTTTTTCTTCTTTTTTTTTCTTTCTACTTCTCTTCGAATTCCCATTGTTTTGTGTGGCGCATATATATTGGCGCTCTCTTGTACCAATATTTATGTGTTCAAATAAATAAATAAATAAATAAATTCTAAGCAAATAGAAAAGTCAGTAGTTTTGGTAATGCCAGGTCCGATCGATTTCCTTTGCGTGTTTACTGTGCTGCATTATCTCTCAGCTATCTTTTTTCTTTTGGATATGGTACTTTTGTAAATGTAGTTAGTTAGGAAGTATCGATGACTATGAGTAAATAGAGAGGACTTAAGCAGATTTGCCATTGCACTATGTGAAGCATTTCTGCTATTCCCTAATAAAACTTTCTGTTCAATTTAAAACTAGGTTCTCCAGATTTCAACCTTTTATTTATTTCATATTGAGCCGAAGAGAACTTTTGATGAACCTAAGTATTGTGGTTTTGTTAGGAAGTAAAGCTGGGGGAAATCTTTATTGTCATAACATGTCCACTAATGCCTTCATACTTTAGTCCCATGTATTAGTATTGCTCGAGCAATAATGTCAGTGCTCTACTTTTTAAAATATTAACCGTGATTTTTGAATCAGCAGTGTGAAATACATCTTTGTACTTTTCCGGATGTTAAGAGCACATTGTAACAATTTGATTTTTCTATTTCGTACTCCTGTGATTTATTACTGAATTTTAGGCTCATTACTTCAAACTACTGAATGTCGAGTTCGTGGGGCCGTCCGTTTTTCCGATGTGTGGGCAGGAGGTTTCGCTACATTCGCTCGTTGTCAAATGACTGGTGCTATCTATGCCTGTGGTCTAAATAATTATGGTCAGCTAGCATTACGCGATACGACCGGTCATGGAAAATCGCTTTCATGTAATTCTACGGAAGAGTTTGTTGACATCGAAGTGAATATGGCTGAGAATGCTGAAAAGTTAGTAACTGATCGCCAGGAAGCTGACAGGTCGGAGGCCCAGCTAATCGCTCGGCAAGGTCCCCTTATTCAGTTCATGTTAATTCGAGCATTTGGATTTGATCCGGATCAAGATTGGCGTCAGTTTGCGATCGGTATGCATCATACACTGGCTTTAAACCATCTTGGTAAGCTGTTCTACATACAATTTTGTGTTAGTTTGTATGACTTTCGGTGATCGTATGTATTATTATTACTCAGATTATTTCGAAAGCTGTTTTATAAGTTTATTTATTTATTTATTCATTTAAACACATAAATATTGGTACAGGAGGGCACCAAATATATATGCGCCACACAAAACAATGAGAATTTGCAGAGAAGGAAAAAAAGGTAAGGAGCGTAAAAAAACGATAACGAACAGATTAGTGTAAGGTAGTGAAATAATAATAATGGGGAAACAGAAACATACAATCAGAAGAAATCTTTCAGTTAAGGAAGATACAACCACTTTTTATGAAGAAGGTAAAAGGTTACAGCAGGATCGCCACTGGCTTCTATTCTGAGCCATATCTGATAACGTCTCTACTCGAGAACCTTTAGATAGAACCGAATTTCCACCATAGACGAGTTGCTGTATAAGTCGAAAAATAAGGATAGACAGAGTAGGAATAAAAGAGTGAATAAATGACGTAGTAAATAATAACAATAGTAATAATAATAATGTGAATCGTTTGATTAATAGCTGAAGCAAGAAAATTATTTTCCATAATTATCGACAGTTCATCATATTTGTGTGCGGGCTGTGATACTGCTCGGATGCCCAGACCGAAGCAGGTGGTTTTCTTAGGGGGCCCCACACCCCGAGCCTTCGACCTGAAGGTCTGATCCATAAGGTAGTGGAGCATCGTAAGGAGATGCAGTCCCATGGTAGCCGGTGACCAGCGATTGGTTCATACGCCATTAGTTCCCGCAGGATACTGGAGCCCATGTGCACTGTTGGTTTGGAATCCGGTTAAAGCGCCGGACATTCGCTTTTCGCCCTCTCATTTTCGTAAACAACACCCCCACCACGAGAAGGCAATGAGTAGGACTTCCCTGGCAGGGGCTGTATACGCGTGGCCGTGTGAGAGCATTTCAAGAGGGAGGGAGGGCCCACCCCACTCTCGGGCATACCAGGGCATTTGGGGGCAAAATTATTTTACTTCCGCTTATCTGGGGACATTGTTTTGTTGACGTCGCCCTAACTACTATGGGTAAAGGGACACCAAGCGACTACATCTCAACCATTAGTCGTTTAGTTTTCTGCTAAGTTAAAATGTTTAAGGAAGAAACTGACAAGTAAAACTGTCTTTCTGTTTCTGTTAACAGTCCCAACGATTACTATCTAGTTCCAAACAAACATGATTTTTACCACTATCTCAATGAGTTGAACATATTGCGGTGTCGGTTGTGGAGTTCACTGTGCTGATTGGGCGTCTAAGTATAGAAGAATCTTCTGAGGTGCTAATGGAGACTTCTTTTGCAAGTTGAGTGGCGCCGTAGATAGACCAATACTGAGTTCTAACTCATTAGTCTCGTATTAGCTACATGGTACTCTCCCTCCGCACCTTATATTAATTGAAATCAGACACTAGCAACAAAAAGCTTTGCGTCTGTGAAACAATTAGCGATCTTCAGAGACATAGAAAACAGTTCCATTCCTTTGGTTGTCCGAGCAACTTCGATCAAGATGTCTTGTTCTCCTTGGTTGATGGACACAAATCCATCTAATGTTATGAAGGTTCGAAATGAAGTGAAATGATGCGCGCCAATCGATACGGGCGACTTGGTGTTTGCTTTTCTCAAGGATAGATTGTTATGGATAAGCTGACTACATTGTTTAAAAAGGGATCTTATTAGGAATGAAGTGATTGTCGTACCTATCTAACAAACGAATCTATTCAATGCATATCATGACCATCGGAGTTTATTTATTTATTTATTTAAACACATAAACATTGGTACAAGGAAGCACCAAATAGATATGCGCCACATAAATCATTCGATTTGTGTGAGGGCTGGGATACTGCCATCGGAGTAAACGTCTTAAACCATATGATTTCCTTTGTACTGCATAAACTACGTGAAACTCTGGAAAAATATATTCACAAGGACTAGGTAGGGCTTTGTCTATTATACTCTACACCAAATGCTTTAATACCACCAGCTTTATTGTGGTCTAGCAATCACTATATTTTCTGAATTCCGAGCTGTTTTCGTTTAGGTGATAAGCTTGTGCTTCGAGATTGTATATTAGGAAGAATTGCCCCTGATATGTTTGCTAACATTCCAAAATCCTGGACTAAAACATGCCAGATAGAGTGAGTATTTACAAACACCTCTTGTTTTAACTCAGTAGCATGGTTGTGTTAGGTTGCTCATTTTCATCAGTGTTCTTTAAGTCATCAGTCAGAACCATTCTGAAACAGTTCAGATGATGGTTCGAGCTATGAAAATATACTTTTATGTGACTATATGAGGAATAATCTTCTTGTGGTAAGGTTATGTGTGTGGTTATCTTCATGAGCGCTGATAGTGGTGTAGCAGGTTGCTTTTATTACAGCAAACCCTTTAATGAAACAATCCAGTATAAGCCACCTTTTGTGCAGTCATAACTCGAACATGATTACTAACAACTGGGTGATTAACGATTCAGTACGAACAGTTATGTTCTGTACTTGTAAAATGACCTCTTCAAGCTAAGAATGTTTGACATCCTCTTTTCTCGCAGTTTGTAGCAACATTATTTAGTTAGTACTGAAGTGTGGAGACATATTTTAGGGTACAATGTAGACGACTAAACGAGTTTTCGCTTTGAAAAACTAATTTCGGTAGTTTGGTCAAGTTTCGCGTGTGTCACCCTGAGTGCTTCCATAATATTATTTACCGGCTATTGAACTGGGTGAAAAAAAGGAAAGATGGACAAATTAGGGTATCTGAACGTGTGACAATCCCGTTGCTGTAGGATATGCTATCATATTGTTATTTCTTGGATATTATTAAAAATGTGTCAGTATACTACTTTATCATCATTCATGATTTGTAAAATATGTAGTAAGAAATAATTAATGGCTTTTGCAGATGCGTAATGTCTCGGATTTTCCCCCCAAATTTCTTTTTCATAACACGATGTTTCTTAGCACGTTTTCGAATTATTTTAGTTTCTAAATGTAGATTATGCGATTCTTGTTTTGTAGGTGTTTATTTTTTATTCAGAGGTTTTATAGGTTCAAGTTTCACAACTAACCATGTTTTGCTTTTGTAGGTCATGTGTACGCTGTTGGTCGACCAGATTACGGTCGTCTTGGTTTGGGGTGTGATTTGAAGGGATCGAAAATTTCAGTGAACAAACCTACACGCGTGCTTGGTGCACTTAGTGAGTGTGTCTGCTCATGGATCGGTTGTGGAGAAGTATGTTCATTTGCGGTTGATACTAAAGGTTAGTTTAGAAAATATTGACTCATCTATTCTAAACTAAAGTTGCCTTGTCTAATTTCACCGTGTCGTGTATATGGTGATCTTTCCGTGTTTTATAAGTTATAAGTATTCATTTTGGTTGGGCAGAGCAATATCAGGGTTGGTCTGTGTTTCCTTTAGTGCTTTCAAAGTCCTGATAAGTCAGTATACTTTTATGCCTCTTTCCAGACTTATAGAATCAAGGAGTTATGCCCAATAATTCAGTTTTGCACCATATTCTATTGTCTAAAGTTGTAGGAACAAGAGTATTTAATTAGTCATATGGGTTCTCAAATTGAGCATTGATTGTCAGGTCAGGCATTCGTATCTTAAGGTTAGAAAAACTAAGTCCAAATGAGTCCCTCCTTTCCTTGAACAGATAATATGACGGAAAGTAAAGTAGTTATCTATTTATCAGTATTGACTGGGAATAAATTAATATGATTTTTATCACCACAAGATTTATTCAGCTTTAGCTTAGTCCTTTCTTCTGTTTTTGCAACGATGGTAGTATAAAAAATTATGAATTTTATGTGACATAAAAATGACAATTTTGAGGATGCATAAATGTTGAGCTGGATGAATTTGTAATAATTCTCTTGATGATTTTCTAAATGTGATTTAATAAGTCAAATAAGATTTAAGAAATTAGTTTCCAGATTACTAGAATGTACTCTCTTTTATGATTGGCTTGGAAAATGTATGGTTTTTCAAAAAAAAATTTTAATATTCAGCTTCACTCGTTCACATACCACTTAACACTTGGTTAACCAGTTAGTTTGACTCTTTATTAGGGTGTAGAGGGAGTATTTTCAAAAATCTAAAACAGTTTGTCCTTTTGGTAAATTTTGATAATCCAATGAGATGATTACCAAAACTAAATGATATATATTAGTGAAATATATTTTAACCAGTTTGATCACACATTTACTTGTTAAGGCATTTTTATCTGGTAAGTAAACTAGACAACTTGAAAGATGAAAAAATAAGATAATGAAGGAAACAATGTGAACCGCGCTACTAGATAGGAAACGAATATTATCAGGGTAGGTTTAGTGTAAGTATAAAGGAGAGTTGAAAGTTCGTTTACCTAAGCCTTCAAAAAACGCAAGTATTGGTCTTAGATAACTTCATGTGCAATTACAGAGGTTGAGTTAAGATAATTTTTTAACCTGTATGGGCTATATGTTTGATGATGGTGGAGAATGGGTTTGTTGAAACCTTAGGTATACGGAAGTTCAACTACCCCTTGTGTGTTTAAAAGCAGATATTATCTTGCTGAAAGGCGATGAAAGATTAGGAGTGGCCATTATGAATAGATATGCGTACAAAATTAAAATGTTATTTATTTATGCCTTTGACGAAATTAAAAAAAAACTAGAGAGGAGAATAAATTAAAGTCAAGGTATATTACTATACATGAACATTACAGATGGAGAATCTATTTTCTTAAAGCTTTTGCTTTCCGAATATTCTCATTTATATGGATCACCTAAAATTCATAAATTAAACTATCTTTCACGTCAGATTTTATCTATGTGTCGATCACTTGCTCATAATTTTGTCAGACGACTAACGAAATATATATATATCTAAATGGGGTTCATCTAGGTATTCTATGGAGGATTCTTTTGTGTTAGTTGATTATATAGATGGTATTCAAATGTACCTGTTATTCAGAATTTTATCTGTCCCACTGTTGTTACCAGGTTTAAATTTGTAGTTTAAACCAATTTAAGCACTGTAGAAAGTTAACTGGAATTCTGTAATAAAAATCTTTTGTACATAATGTTATCAAGTTGGGTGTATTTTAATATATTTATTTATTTATAGGTTTTGCTTACTCTTGGGGTATGGGTAGCAATCATCAACTTGGACATGGAGACAGTGAAGATGACTGTTGGGAACCAGAGTTGATGCTGGGAAAACAACTAGAAGATCGGTAAGATATTTGAGTGTTTACATTTTGAAATATAAAACTTATCTTTTGCTCATAGATTGGTTGGATATGCTTGTTGTCCATATGAAAACGTTTTTATAAGGTGTACTTTGTAGTTCTAATGTTTCTTTCGATTGGAAATAATCACAATCATTATGATTTCTAATGGATCTAGTTTGATTTTCAATTTCACGTATTCAGCATGAATTCTAAACAATATTAGCTAGTTTGATCACCCTCAAACTTTCCAGTTACATTTAAACACTTCAATTAAGATCTGATTCACCCTGATTTCAAACCAATGGTGCACATGGGCTCCAGGATTCTGAAGGAACACATGGTGTATGAACCAATCGTTAGTGACCGGCTACCATGGGACTGCATCTGCTGACGTTTCTCCACTGTCTTGTGGATCAGACCTTTAGGTCTAAGGCTCCGGTTGTGGCTCCCTAAGAAAACCATCTGCTTCGGTCTGGGCACACGGTCAGTATCACAGCCCATATCAAGTGAAGTGACTTGTATAGCGCATATGTATTCGGTGCTTCTTTGAACCAATTTTTATGTGTTCAAATAAATAAATAAATAATAAAGTGGATTCTTTCGTTTCTCATAAAAATGGATATTTATGATTAAATTTGTTTGTAGTGATGAAGTTTTTTCCAAAAAAAAATGGTGGCTTAGATTTCCGCTTTTATCATGTTTTGATTTTCATTCGATAAAGCGTGGCTCATCGCTTCAGCTAGAATAAGTTTGGTTGAAGATTAGTTTTAAGCTTTCATGTTGGACTTTCCTATTCAAATTTTAAAATAAATAATAGTATATTTCTGCGTTAAAGTTTTTGGAATTAAGTTTATCCATCTTCAAGTGTAAAATCAATGTACGAGAAAGTGAATGTAAATTATATTACTTTCAAAGTGGTATAATGTATTTAATGAAGAGTGTTTAGTAAATGTCCATTTAATACTTAGTTCGGGCAAGCAGTTCTCAATAGAACGCTCTATCTAGCGTGTGTAAAACATTGTTCATTCACTTTCGGCAACAAAGCTTTATGTCATTATCTGAATAGCTTTTCCATTACCTATCACTCGCGGTTACCCTCACTATCACCTAACAAGTTATTTCATGACATACAAACAATTCTTTGAAGGCACCTATGACCAAATATCTCTCCTATATTTAAGACTTACAGACTTAAGGTAGCGAATTAGGATCTAAAAAATTACTAGCTGTCTTTTTTGTAATACCTTATCATTTTCATGTAAGCTGTATTTGCAATGAATTCACTCAACTAAGCACTTATTTAAAATGGGTTATCTTCTTATATTTCTTGCAGTCGAGTTTTAATGGTTGACGCTGGTGGTCAACATACTGTTATGCTAGCTTGCTCTGCTACTCAGCCAAAAGCGATTGATACTGAGGTAGATATTGTGATGGGTGATTCTAATCAGCTTCCAAATGGGACGAACAAATCTCCTGAAGCCGAAAAACATGATGAGGAAATGTCAGAAGTGATGTGTGGTCCACTTTCTAATAATAATGTAGAGCCAGATCAGCAAAGTGTAGAATTATCCAAAAATCTTAAGATGTGTGATTCTTCCGCTGATACATCAGTAGAGCGTATTTTGATTCCACCTATTGGACCTGGTGCCCCACAAAGCAAGCGAAACCGACGTGCAAGTCCTTCGTCTGTAACTGGAAGTACCGGGACGACGTTGTTAACTCCTGTTGGGTTTAGTTGTGAAAGTACAACAGGAAGTACAGCAGGGGCCACAATCAATAGCAGCGTTCATAGTTCTGCTGTTTCTGATACTTGCTCCGTTGGATCATGTGCATCGACAAGTAGTACAAGTAGTCAGTTGAATAGTGCTAAAAGTACCGATGGTGGTGGAAGTAGCCGATGTAGTTCTTTTGACAATTACAGTGTACAGAGTAGTTTATTGTTAGTACCACCCACAGAAGATAAATCCCGTAAAGGCACATGATACCCTGTCCTTATTTTCAGTATTTTAAAAAATCTACTTGGTATTATTATTTTATTTTGTCTTGGTTTTATTTCTAATAATGGTCACAATTTGTAAGAAACTAAAGATGAACTTACTCTTTATGTAATCCATTGTTTCCAGACAACTTTCACTCAAACTATTTCAGGCAACTAGCTGATTAACTCACCTATCCGTTTTATACGTATAATGTTTATTTTGTACACTACATCTATTTGTATATTTTAATCTTTGTTAAACATTTGGGAAATAAGAAAAACTTTAAATATCCTAATGTATACTTTAAATGTTAATTTAACGTTTGTTTTTGTGATTGCTTGTATGTATGCTTATGTAATTATATTATAATAATAATCCATATTCATTTCAACGTTAACATTACAGTTTTGTAAGTTGAATATAAATATTTTGACTGGGTTTCTTATGGAAGGTTACTTACATAAAGTTGTGTTTGTTGATGAAGTGGTGTTCATACCTTGAAATCATAACGAAGTTATCTGTATTTCTCTGATGGAGCATCCATCTTTTGTCATTTCTCCAACTGTATACATTCTATTTTTCTATCGTATGTTGATTTTTCTACGGTAGTGAATACTATTACTTCTAAAATCTTATATCTCACCGTTCAACCAAATGGAAATAGTTTTAGTTAGTTTGGATAATTATAGGGGATAATACAGGTTTCATGCATTCACAGACTTCGGCGCATAGGATTTTTTAGATCAAACGAAATTCTCGGTTCTACAACCATTATGATTTTAAGCTAGAATTTTTAGTTTCATTAATTGTCTTGAACTAGATCACTAAGACCAACATCTCTATTTTGTAGTACGGGTACCATTACAGAGTCACCTCATTTTTCTCGTCTTAATGAATCCTTTACAATCAGTATTTTTGTGTTTCAAACGTACACAACCTTTTCCAGTGCACCTATCGAATTAAAATCGACCGTTGTTAGTGGAGAGGATTATCTTACTATCAGATAAAGAAACTGTATATGTCCTAATAACACAGATGGGAATCCCGTTACTGCCTTTAGCTCTTGTTAATTAGACTATTACATATTGGTTACTGGTTGTGTGATTAATATTGCTTTCTTCTGTATTGTAACCTGTTCCAGTGCATTCAGTTTATCTACTCCATCCATGGAAGAAAACTGACGGACAAAAGAATGAACTCATGCACAAACATAGCTATATTAGTGAGTATCTGAAACAAACTAATCAGTTCACCTGTAAGTCTCATAAAATGAAATATAATTGTGGTCATAATATCCAATACGAGTAATTTCTTCACTTTGTGCTAGCATGGTTGAATATTAGTTGAATGTGCAATAATGATACTAGATAGTTTTGGCAACAAAGCTAAATAACGAGTGTTTTCTGAATTTAAATCAAGTGCGAATTATATAGAGAATTTCACTGAGATATCATACCTCATTTCGACGGATCATCTAGTTTGTTGATGAACGGTTAAAATTTGCTGAGAATACGTGTCACGTAAATGTTAGTGTTTTTTAAGTGCATTATCGCAGCTTAAACTGACAAATTATTGGCCCAAACATAATCCTTATGATGTCGATGTTAGACACTAACAGCAACAACGGACCTAATGACATTCTTAAGTAGGTTTGGGCGTTTTGACATCTTATTTGATGGGAAAAGTCAGTTAGTAATGTGTATCGGTCCACGTGGCCATATTATATTAGCGCAGCGAGGTAAAATTACTAAAGAAAATTATAAAGTGATGGCAGTATCAGTAGTAGTGGAAAAGGTTGGCCATAAAAAGAAAAAGCTATAGGGCGATTTCGTGACTGAGGGTTTAAGGGAAACAAAGATTGAAGCACTTACGCCATTAAGACGAATACTGAGCCATGTCACTAAATTTCTAACCACAGGTTATGATAAACACGCGCATGCTAAGCATGTAGTGTTTACCTATTTACATGTCTCAGTCCAGGTGCCAGTCACTATGGACCAATGCTATGTCTTGGCGTGGTGGTCCCTAGCTTTATTTAAACCTAATCGTATGCTAGACAGCACCTGTCGAGGTTGACGGTAGTGGGAAATACGTAGTACCTGTTCCAGCTGATGAAGACAACTGGTTTACCATCTCTATTTAGTACCTTGCTCATAACTTCGAAATCTCACACTTGGTGATGCACAAGCGATGCTTCGGACACACCTAGTAAGTAACGAATATTCTCGATTCTTAGTTGGCATGCTTCACATCCATAAGGTCGAACTGATGAGCAGTAAACTTATCCCTTAGTTGGCAGACGGACACCTTCCCTACCCTACAGGTGACGCTGTGGTGCGTGCTACTTATATTGATATAAGTAGTATATGGCGCGAGTCAGGAAAGCAATGTCTGGCAGCAGAAGATCAAGAAAGGAAGAGCGGGAATAGAATGTAATTTGTATGAAAATGCAAGAACAATGAATTCTGAGGCATTTTGAAACAATTGGTGGACATTTTGCAAATTAATGATTTGATATATGGTTCTCAGATTTTATTGAGATGCTCTGTAATTTAGTGCTAAATACATTAGACTGTCCCCATCCGTTTTCTGTTCACTACAGCACAAGTTGGCAAAGGTTAACTGAGCTTCATGAATTTTACCGAATATTTCATCAGACACCAGCCTACCAAAGTTGAGAATTGCAAGAAACGTTAGGTGGTCGATAAGTGTTGAAGTAAAATCAGTTTGAAAGCAATATTTTGGGCTTCGAGGCAAAGAATCTTCTTCAAAACATTGCATTATTGCTTAAGGCGGTCAGAGGACTATACAGTTTCGCAGCAACTGAGAACAATAAGTAATTAGTAAATGACATGAAGCAGCCTGTGTTTATTTATACATAATTTAAATACTTATCATTCAATGAATAGTGAATTGATTATTCAGTCTCTCCAATCAAAACAAGATTAATTTTAAATAAGTACAGTTAAATTTATATATTATGACAAAACTACCAGATAGTTACCCAAAGAATATCATATTATGCATATTCAAGATTCACCTAATGCAGGTATATCTAAATTTTCAACGTCATTTCTTAATGCATCTATAAAATGATTTATTTCCATTACTCTTGCTCTGTTTCGATCATATTTTTCACCGGAATATATGGAAGTAATTGTTTCTTTAATCCATTTTTTCGCTTTTTCATTAATTTCATCCGCGAATTCATCAATTTTAAGTAAATGAGCATCGTTACTGGCTGTTAGTGCATTCGTTACACTTTCTTTATCAATAAAAATCTGTAACTTACCAAAAAATAAAATGCAATAAAACTTTTGTTTCAATGCATTTGTAATAATTGGAGATAAAATATTCTGATTTTTTTGTAGATATATGGGGATATGACAAGAAATATGCACAAGTGTAGATCGATTACTTAGCGATGACATAAAATAGACTTCCCTAAAGCTTTAGTTTAAGAGCAATAATCTATTTAAAATTAAGTACATTAGTTGTTTAAAAAGTAACATCACACAACTTTTGGCTTATTATATAAAAACAACTAGATCTTACTTTCGAATCCACGGACACTTTCGCAACTTACGATAAACATTTCTTAATGTATGTTGTTAAACAAATTAAAATTTTTGTAAATTTTGATAAGTGCTATTTAACAACTACACTTGAATGATTTTTTCAGACAAGTACACTTCTTATCATCATTATTGATTCGTCTTTTGTTAAAATAATTCCGGAATTTTATGTACCGAATAAACGGTAACATGTTCATATCGTTTTTGGGTACCTATGAACTTGAAAGCTGAAAAATTCAGTCCTACATTGCTTCATAAAACTTTTATTTGATTACCTTAAATACGATAATTTAAGGCTAATGAGCTTAAGAATCGTTTTTAAATGATATTTGTACCCCATGTATTTTCTAAAACTTTTCTTGTATTTCCATCCTGTGTTTAACGTTTAGTCAACCAGTGAAACTTGTTAATCTACTGTGTAGTTTTGACAAATGATTTTCAAATGAATCGTTATATAGTTCTCGAATTTCAGAATTAGTTAATTCTGCATATAATTGGTGCCTTTATATATGTATTATCTCTTGACATATGCCTGCTTCTAAGTGGGAAATGATCATATTTAAATTCTGAGTCTGATGTGACCTTAACGAAACTACCCACTCACTTTAGTTATCAATATTTCAAGCTACGTTATCAAGTGCTCATCTATTAACAACTGGAACTAATTTCATTCATATATTTATTTTGGTCAATAACATTCATTACGATGGCGCCAATGAAACCTCCAGGAAACGCTTCGTACTTTAGATACTCCTACCCGCGTGACAAAGTGGGCAATCAAAAAGATTTTGCACTTAAGTATTCAAAAGTTGTGCATAAGTTATCGAATAGTACTGATTAACATTCTGTTTAGTCTCCAAATTTAATCGATTTGTCGTCAAAATATAAACAGGCTTGAGATAATGACCAGTAAATTTCACATCCACTTCTAAAAATATCGGTAGTTTGTTTCCCGTCACAACAAACCAGAAGAAAATTAAAGCAAAAATAACTGTTCAGTATAAATAACCATTCACATGTTTATGAACTTATAACTTACGGCTAAAAGAGCATCTGATGGTTCGCTTTGGAAGTCACTACGCATAAATCGTTCTAAAATACCTGGGCATAGATCTGTCAACCTTTCATGATACTGAGTTTGTAATTCGCGACATTCCGTGAAATGTTCCTGAAAAATAATTGATCTGAAATAAAATCCTTCTATGAAGAGAAAAAAGTCATTAGTCAGTTGTTGAAGTAAAACAATAAAATCGTCATTTGAAGTTGGTTTTTGTCACAGAATAATATCAACTGGTGAACCATAAAGGACTGGATAACAATCCTAGTTTAGGACTCCAGACAGTGCGCATCCATAGCCTCTTCGAGTTTTGATCTCATTACGTTGACACTGAGTGCATTGCCTTCAGACGACTATGTAAGGGTCAAGTAGTTTACAACCAATGCGCGGTATCCAAAATTTGATCATCCAGTGCCATTGGTGGATAAATCCCTCACTCATAAGACCAGAATGCTCTGACCAGATCAACAGTCGTTATTAATCTGTGAAACAACTGGGTGTTGGTGTAAAACAAGTAAATAATAATAATTTTCTTGAATCGAGTCCGATAATCGATCATAATGAATTTCTAAAAACCTATTTTATTAAAAGCTGGGATTGGTTGACGATGCAAATGAAAATCCTTTTGGTGATGATGAACGTATCAGTTCTTAATAATTCTTCGTTTTATTTCTTCAATTACTTGCATTTTTAACATTTTTATCACTATCAGTATTAACATTTTCATGTATTCCATTATTTGCATCTTTAATTTCTCCATACTAATTTGTAATATTTTGTCTTATATATATTGGTTTTTGGAACGTACCGATTGTATTTAGGATTTCAGTTGATCGGTTTCTTTTGGCATTTGTGCATCCTGTGCGGATTTCCTTGATACTACCAGTAAGTTACAGGCATTTTAAGCAGAAATGGATTCACTTACGTCTAGCTGACGAGTCCTTAATGGGACGAGACATGCACGATGGATTCCACTGCTAGCCATCATCCATCTCTGCTCATAAATTTGTGACCAGTGTTTTTGGAAAGGTTTTATATTTAGCCCTTAGTAAATTCACGCTTGTATGGAAATGAACACTTTTCAGAGGGATATTGGAAAACTGTAGTCGATAAATCTAGTAGATGATAAATTTTACCTGTCAACAAACAGTGATCTATACACGGTGATGATCAACGAATGTAAAAGAAATCCCAGGTTGCTCCAGTGTTTAAACCACTCTATCTAAGGCTACTATTTCTTTTCCAATGCTAGCCACCATCCGTTTTTGCTTAATTTGATAATATTCTGTGATAGTTTGAATTGGTATATACACGTTTAATATTCAGCAATTTTGCCGCATAATTATTACACCCTTTTGGATATCAGTAAAGCGTAGACGAGTAGCTAAACATATGAGTAAGAAAAAGTTCCATCAAAGTATTTTTGGTAGGTATAATTTGTTCGATTTTGCAATAATTTTTATTTTGCTTTATCTTCAGGAAACATCTTAATGAGTTTACGTATAATTTGATCCTTGAGAGTTCGACACACACACAGAAAGAAGTCTAAGTTTTCATTCCTCATCACACTATTTATCTGAAATTATGGGAATTGTTATTATCCTAGAGATTTGAACCTAGATGATTCATTGCCATAATTAAAAGACACTATCACTATACTTTTGAAGATGTCATTAAGAATTGACTTCATGTACGTTGATATTAAGTACTTACTTCAATAGTTTCAATAAATGTACTAATCATATCATTTAAGTTTAATTCAAATTCATTAATTAATTCATCAATTTGTTCAACTAAAATTGATTCATTTCTCATTAATTCATTCCATAATTGTTGCACCTTCTCATTATAATCTAAAATATCATCTTCGACTTTAATCAAATCAGTATTCTCTAAAATTTCTCTAAATATCTATTTAAAAGAAAATTAAAATGAAAGAAAAAAATAATGTACTATGAGCTTTATCTTTTGAATAAAGATGCTTTTTCATTGTTGTATTGTTTTACTAACACTGTAATGGACAAGAACGCAAATGGGGATAACCAGATATATTTAAATATAAAATTACGAAATCTCTTCGTAAGATATAAGAACCATACACTGAATACTTCATCTGCGAATTTCCATCACTTGTCCTTCATATTCTGTATGATTCTTCCAGTTCACAATTCATTTCTATTTTTGTTTCTGTTCTCTTCAAGTTAATCTTCTTAGCCTTCTGCCACTAAGGTTCCCACTTCCTATTGGTGTCACATACTACTTATGTCGACAAACATAAGTAGCATACACCACAACACTCCTTTAATTTTATTACACCATAAAATACATCCTTAAATTAATAATTACAAGGAAATTAATTGTATATGTGTATTGTTTGTTAAAATGTGTCTTTTTATGAATTAGAAATTAACATAACTTTTTTATTCACAGAAACCCCGAAGCTTGAGTTAGTAGACATCATTTATATTTCAACAGTTGAGATCATGAATCATTTGAAGCTAGACCACCATGAAAAGCCTGGAAGCACTGGACGGCCGTCCCGTCCCATTGTGAGACTCCTCAGCAGTGCACGTCCATGACCCCGCCCCTCGGGATTCGGACTCAGGACCTGCCAGTTTCGCGCCAGGCGCTTAACCAACTAGACCACTGAGCCGGCATCCAACGATGTTAATGTCTAACTTCAACTAATCCACGAAATTGAGCGACAGATCCACCATTATCATCAGTGAGGTACTACCTCACAACTGACCCGGTTGAACGCCAATGGTCACTGCTTCTCACTGGAACTCTAGGATATACCTCTTGAAGCCAGTTACCAGTGAGCATATGTTGATTAGTATCAGAAGTGGTTTTGTGGAGATTGTAGTAATTTCAATGGTTAAGATCATGAGCCAATTGAAGCTATTTAATCAATTTGGGATTTATACTGATAACCACTGAATAAATCAAATGTTTATTGTGCTCTACTATAAATTAGCTGAAGTTTACTAAATGTATCTTCATTATATTCTAAGTGTTATATCCGAATGGAGATTAAATTACAGGTAACTTCCGAGGACTATTCATGGACTAATATTCTATAAATATTCTTATTGTATAACTATTCAACAATTACATTATGTATATTTATATCCCGTTTATGACAAGCTTTATTTTGGCCTATAATTTATTATTGTACGATTTACGGTTCTTAAGTTATGTTCAGTTTATTAACTACTGCCTCCCACATTCAAAGCCACTTTTTGGGCTTATTTGTGTACAAATATTATTTCCTATTTTATGGTACGTTGCGGTCTGTATGATTGATATATAAACCAAGTATGCCTGAAATAAACGATCTGCTCTGATTCGAAGCTGGTATTGTGTTCTGGACTCAAGTGGAAGGGCTCGTAGGATATAGGACTAATAAGGACGCTAAACTGCCCACACCGGTTGAACGTCATTGGTTGGCCTAGTGTGAAGATCCGTATAAGTCGTATTCGGATTGGTAGATAAATCGTGTGATCGAAAAGTCAGACATCCAAGGTCATAACACTAATGTAATAGGTGAATCACACCATGTAATCAAGGAGATTTCGAAGTTTTAAGTTGATCCAATGAATAATGGAGTTTGAACAAAACAGTTATCCTTCACACATAGTTTTGAATAATTATCCAAATGATTTCAATACTAGATGGAAATTTTTGTTCATTAGAAGAAATCTTTGTAGTGTAGTGATTTATACCTTGTTATGCATTCATATGCTGAAATCTTCCTATCTATTTAGGTTGAAATAAATTGATAGTTTCACTGTTGCATAAAAAAAATTTCAATCGTAATTCAAGTTTAGATTATTTAATAATGTTTACATTATTGTAGATGTATATCATCTCATCAGATATATTCTATAATTATACAGAAATTAAGCACATTGAGAATGACTTTCACATAGACTATTTCAAGTAATAAACAATGCACCATCTCTCCCAGTCTATGTCGTCCTATGATATATTCAAATCCGGTGTTGTCTATTCCGACTTTGGCGTTTAGATCTCCCATCAGAATGATGAGGTCCTTTCTTGGATACTTCGCTATGATTGATTGCAGCCTATCCTAGAACTGATCTTTATCGTCTTCATTGCTATCATTGGTGCGTGCACAACACTGGATAACATGCATTTTAATTTCCTGTCAGTTGTAATGAAATTCATTCAGTAACAAGAACTGGTAGTAGCAGTTTTTGTAAACTTCAATATTAAGCTTTTTTTATGGTGTATAAAATCATTAACCTAGCTTACAAAATTTAGGTATTTTGGAAATTGATGTACTATGCAAATGTTTATGAATAGTCAGTTGGTTATGTAAACTGATAACTTGATTTAATTCGCATATGGATTAATTAGCCTTATACTTGGAAATAATTCTAGAGAATAAACAAACTGTTGTCTATTTACAACAATTATCAAGATTATCACGTTTTAATTTGGAAAAGTATTTTTGATGGACATTAAGAACCTTATCCCTAAAAATTCATCAGAGTAGACACATCTGATTGTGAAATTCTGAGTTATAGTTTTTGTGTTTAACAAAATATTACTGGGTAATAATTTTGCTGAGATATAATTATTTTGAAATGAAAAAATATTTGTAGTTCAGGTGCAGAGATTTATTAAAATTTTTTATCGTTATGACTTCAGACAAACCTGGCCTTTTCGAGCAAGGGACATTTGTCTAAGGTTTGTGTCCGAATATCGTTGTCTTCAAAGGATTATTAATATCTGGTGGCAACACTTATTTATAATGCTAATACGTGTTTAGGCGTATTGACAATAATTTGATTAGTGTCACCATCTTGAACCACCGATATTGATGATTGAGTCATATTTTATGAATGTTATCTAAGCGATTTCCGCATCTTGCATTATTTACTGACACTGGGGCTGAATATAAAAAATTGGAAACCAGGTACATAGGAACGCTGTTGTATGAAGATAGTTGTATAGAACTGGCTTATGTCACTCCATGTTATTTGGGTCCTGAACATGGTACAAGTCAGTGGCCTTAAATATTAGAAGATACGGAGCAGAATATAGTGTTTGATTATAATCTTTATAAAATGTGATGAAACTCCCAACTGATTAAAATCTTTCTTGACTGTATTTTCAGCTGACTACATCCCTTATTAAAGACTAACTTTGTCCATTTATTCAATGACTGTACTGCAGTTCACTTTATTTATTCATAATATTATTGTTTCATTTGTATGGTGATTTTTTTGGTGCTATGTATCGATTAAATGACCAAGTTGATGGTTATTATGACTCGCTAATTTAATTTATAACATACTAGCATTTGAAATAACAGTCTCTAGTTTCGAGTTTCACTGTAAACACCAATCATGAACATTGATTGAGCAGATGAAACGACAGAAAACACTTAACAACTATTCTTGAAATCAATTCTTACACATAAAAAAATCAGATAAACATATAATTCATCAAGATGAAATAAGAAAGGGTTTTGTGGAGATTTTAATAATTTCAATAGTTGAGATCATGAGTCAATTGAAGCTAGACTACCATGGAAAAACTGGGAGCACTAGACGGCCATTTCGTCCTATTGTGGGACTCCTGAGCAGTACGCAACCACGACCCCGCTCCGCGGGATTCGAACCCAGGATCTAGTGGTCTCGTGCTCCCAGGTTTTCTATGGTAGTCTAGCTTCAGTTGACCCATGATCTCAATTATTGAGGTAATGAAATAAAATTGTTTAAATTTTAAGAGGAGTATAAAAATAATATTTAAAAATTTGCTTACTTTATCCTGATATAATTTAAATTCATTTATTTTCTTTCTACTTAATTCAGCATTTACCATTTTCGCTTGTTCAATACAATTTCGAAATGATTCTATTTCTTTATTACGTTTATCATGTTCTTTTATACCAAGTTCAAATACTAATTTACATTGATGTGTAAATTTTTCTGAAAAGGTAGATTATTATTATTATGATCATCACCATTGTTATTGATAATGTTCATATAAATTATACAAGTTAAGGTGAATAGTGTTATTGGATTAAATGAAATGAATATTGAAACATTCACAACAAATAAATACAATAGTGTACATGTGTTTTTTTTGTGTGCAGAAATGTAAGAGGTTCCGTTTTATACCTCTCAGTACTAGTTCAAGTATAACATGTTGGGTGAACATTAACTCAGTATGACCAACCCAGTTCAACTGTTAATGGTTCATGATATTGTCAAATTATTCAAATTTGTTCCGTTTAAATCTAATAACTTACAGTTATTAAGTATTATGCAACAGCTTTCTCTACATTTATAATAGTGTATATTTGTAGTGAATAAGAACAACAGTGTGAACAATCGAATGTATTTAACACAAAATTATAGGACCTCTTAGTAAAATCTAACAATCATAAAGTAAATGCTTAATTCGCAAAATGTCCACCAATTGTCTCAAATGACTCGAACTTCATTGTTCTTGTATTTTCATACAAATTGCATCCTGTTTCCATTTTTTTACTGTTCGATCCTCTTGTTTCTCTGCTGCCAGACCTTCCATTCACGACTAACATCATCTACTACTTATGTCAATATAAGTAGCACACACCACATATTGATTAACTACTCTCAGATATACTGTTAGTTTACATGCCGAAAATTTATTTCACCATCAAACAATCAGATATGATGCATATAAATGGATAATTTAAGTTATTAGAGTCAACCACTCAGTTTCCAACTGGTCAATCACAGATTTGAATTCCTCTTCGTTTACTTTAGTTTACATATCTGAGTCGTATTATCGACCGTCACATAACTTAAATGTATAGCTCAAAGTTTAGTACATTAACATACACTTGAACAATAAATTATATGAATATAATATATTCACTTTCAACTAGGTTTGATTGCACAATCAAGATTTAGATATCATTAGGAAATTTAAACTATAAATACGTTATGATCGAGTCATATCTAATGATAAAGAAAGTTTATTTTCATGTTTAACATAACAATCATTTCTTTGATATTTCTTATTCTTCATACAATTCAATGGTCGAAAAATTCTTTCCATTTATTCTATGATTTTTTAAATTGAATTGAATACATCCTTGTTAGTAGATAGAAAATTCATTTATTCACTGGAATTTTGATTAATTATTGATAAAATTAAGGCTTATATATATATATATATATATATATATATATATTCATATATATATATATATATATATATATATATATATATATATATATATATATACGCTGATTGTTCTTTAAATTTTGGACACTTTTCTTGCATATTACTGATTCATTCAAGTTTTCTTACTACTCAAAAATCAATATCTGAATATAACTGGATAAGATTTCAGTGTAGATCGATCTTCTTTGGAGAATTACTCTGAAGAACTTCAGATGAATTATCAAAATATTGGAGATATTTAACTTGCAGATCGGTGAGATTATTTCATATGTAGATTTTCCGTACACAAGAAAATTAGCAATCAGTAATTTACATATTTTATTAATTCTTTTAAATCCCTATAACGAATGATATTTTATTCATTGACATAAATACTAGTCAATTTGTAATGAGTGTAATGGAGTTGAAACTGTTGTCTTGTTAGAATGAAGAATGCACATATTTTTCGCCTTATTTTTTACAGATTTTAATACGATTAACTTATTAGAACAAAATTATTCCATTTGGGATAAAACCTTTATTTCTAATTAATGACCTTTTATCATGATGGATTTTGATAACTTTTTAATCTTTATTCTTAAACATGTTTATTCGTTCATTTCATTGATGAACTATTTCAGGTTCTTTTTGTTGATATCTAACTGAAATTCACATGTAGTTGACTTTATTACATGTGCAAAAACTACTCAGTTACTGATTATTAAAGAAAAGAAAATTACTATGAGGTCTATTTCAACCAAACACAATGAATAATAAGTGTTGATCATAATTGTCTGTGAACGGGTAATACACAAACAGCATGTAAGTTATTTAAAATAATAATTTTAGATGATAATATCAATCATTGAGATGTATGTAATTTGAGATGAAAAGTTTCAAACACGAGCAGATATCTTTGCGTATTCGATTCTTCAGTTACTGTCAAGCATTATATTGATCCTCTTAAAATGTTCAGTGTTTGAATTGACAATATCAATACTGTACTACATTTTACATGACATGTTCCCCTGCTAAATATGGGACATAAAGCTATTGCATTCAAAATAATCGGCGAACAACCTAACTTTGTCTTAATGAAATTCACAGAGACTTAAATCTGGCCTTTGTATTCAAAAAAGAGTCAATGGTTAAACCTTTATCTGCCTTCGTAACCGACGAGAATTAACCATTCTCAGTTCTTTTTTCAGTTCCGTCCTTTAATTATTTTGACCACAATCTTTTAAGTTTAATTCATATACATTTTTATTTCTGAACCTCTTAGATCTTTGTCAAATTGAGTAATAAAAATTGAATGTACTAGAATCTTTAATTCCAAGAATCTGTAAAATCTTGTTAAAACCTTAATTCTTAACTTAATTCACATCCTATACGCCTTATTTCTTGTTAATAGACAATTCATGTTTTCTCATTTTAAAATAATCAAACTTATTAACTTGTATGTAGCTGAAGAGAAAGTAACGAAAAACATTCAATCCATTGTATTATACAATTATTAGAACTCTTAGTTCGTTTAAATATGCCAAGGGAACGATTTTAAGAAATACTGTATACCTCATTTTTTATTGTTTGTTTGAATCTCATTGATGTTTAGGACTGAAATTGATCAGTCTCTTATCGGTATATGTACATCCTGTGCGGATTGCCCCGATATTGCCGTAAGTTACAACTATTATATGCAAAGATGGATGGTGACTAGCTAGTGGCTACCAGGATGGCGTTTTGAGCGACCACTACTAGGTTCGAGTCCCGGAGTCAACATCAACTCTGGGAGACAGGAACGTCCGGATGACGAGTCCTAAATGGGACGAAACACGCGTTCTGGATTCCACTGTCAGCCACCACTCACCTTTTCTTGTAATATTGTTTACCCCTTAACTTCATCATTTTGAGGAGATAATCTCTAAATTATGACAAATATTAAACACAAGCTACATACATTATTAATACAGTTGATGCCTTTTTGTGAAAATTTTGATAGCTTGAATATGGCTAACATAACAAATTGATGTTACCTGAAATGTCTAGTGATTTAAAGGCATGGTGATCACTGAGAGGTCTAAAGTTTTTGAGTTCAATTTCGTATGGAGTAGTGGGAACACAGTACTATGCAGTTCCTGAATAGGTGGAAACAACTGTCCATTGCTCCCAGGTTAGCAGCTGGTCTCCAGATAATGATCAAATGACATATCGTAGATCAGGGGGGAAGATTCTGGAAATGTGTTTTTCCGGCTGGATTGTCTAATCTTGCAGCTTTAATTATCTTTCCAGAGGACACTGTCAGAAAATACTTTGAGAAGAATTAAGCTTAGGGATTTTTGCACATTTGTGTAACAACATGTTCTGTTGACATCAACTTCGATTATTTGTTCACAATAGTTAACATTATTTGATTGAGTTCTCTGACCTTGCAATTTTGTATCATTCTTCTTATTGACTGATAGATTGGGTCTATCTTACAACATCGAATGATTAATTGGTGAAATGCTTGTAAAGATTCCCTTGATCATTGTTTTATAGTAAGAATATAGTCTTGTTTGATCTTTGGCTCAGTTGAGATAACTAGGGCTATTACTTTAAAGGATGCCATCAGTTCTTTTTAATATTTTTAGTTTTAACGTAACATTCCATTGTCGCCCGATCCAGGTACGGACAAACACACTTCCTGTACACCTGTGCAACCTGCTACTCTTGTGAGACGACTAAGAATGACTGAATAACTGTTGGTGGAAAGCTGAATGAAGTGTATATAAGACATAAAGACTAAGACTTTCGCAATGTGAATAACTGGCTTCATCCAGTAGCGTGTCTTATTTATCATATCTGAGTGCTTGGCCTTTTGGGTGGGGTGCAAGCACAGACGCGTGATACTAATAGACTTGCTCAGTCTATCACATCTAAAAGTAATACATAATTGTCGACTATTCAATAAGCCAACCAGGAAAAGGATATAATTCAATACTGTTGTACAATTCAGGAACTACCAATAATTCTCTGTCATCAGGATCATCAGTGAATAATTTTTGAAAAATATTTTCATCAACTATGCCATCAATAAATGCTTGTTTATATAGTTCTATTTTAGCTTGATTTTCAGCGAGTTCTGTATTCAATTTCAATTGAGTCTCTTCTTCACTTATAATCTCATCAATTTCTAGTTGATATTTTTCATAACCTGTAGATTTCTGTAATAAAAGAAAATCTGAAATTTTGATTTGGTAGAGAGATGAAAATGACGAAACCTAACAAAAAATAAAATGGGACAGAAAACAAATAATAAGCTAAAAAGAAATTAGGAGCGGGAATTTGTCTCAGAGATGTCATTGAATAAGTTATTTAATTGGGGGGAAAGCTGTTATGTATCTACCAGTTTTCTGTCCCCTGAAGATCATGTTTTATTGGCCGTAAAAAGTGTATTCTTTCCCAAAGTACACCCGAAAACTACTCAGCATTGGTATCTAAAGATGAATGCAAACCAGTTAATAGTTAGATTATTGACCACTTGATCAATCACTGCTATCTATCTCAACCAGAATCTTCATTTAAAATCATTCAGACAAACTGGTTTTAAGGGAAGTTGAACAAAAAACTGGTGCATAAAGGAAGCTATGATAACCTATCAGACCAATCATATTCTTTGAGTTCAGAACAGATATGTTTAATCCTTTATTTTATCATAGTCCTAACATTCCTTTCTCAAATCGAGGTTTTAACACATGTTCTTCCTTATATTCGACCATTGAACAGCCATTCACTCCTCTTCTTTTGATGCCATTTTCATTCTTATCACCTATTAACTATTAGATAATTAAAATAACTCATAGTGTCATTGAATAAGAAAAAGAGAATTCAGCGAAGAAAATTTTCTTTTCGACGAAATCATTTACTTAAGCTGTACATTCGTATATAAAGTTAGATATGGAAATGTATGTCTATAGAAGGATAGAAAGGATTGTATCACAAAAAAATGGATTCGACAATAAATAACAAATGAGGTTAACGTACTAATCAAGGGGTAAGGAAGATCAAAATTTAAGGGTCAGATAATAGTCCAATCGACAGATATGAAGAAAAACGACAAAACAACAAAGGTCATAATAATAAATTGAATGATAATCAAGAAAACTTGTAAAAGGTAATAATAATAAATGATTAGAGTTTAAAGTGCAAAAATAGTAATTTAAAATATGGATAATAATAAAAGTGCATTTAAAAAAAACACCTAGAAACATACCCATTAAGGCCAAGGAAGGATAAGAGGTTGGACAAATCGTTTCTGCACGCAAAATACAGGCTTGAGTTTTTGGATTGCCAAAGCCTCTGTGGTGAGTAAAATATTGATTCGAACCCCCTTCGATCCAGTTCCTTTGACTCTGTAGACTATTTTAAACGAAGAGTCTTTTGGAGCGATATGTCCACAGTTGATTAAGTGCTCCTGTATAGAACTCGTGATTGTTTTTCGCACCCCTTTCAAGAGCCAAGCCGGATAATGTTTCGAGATGCGTTTGGATAATGATCGCTTTGTGCGGCCTATGTAACATGGCCCACATGAGCAAGTAAATTTATAGATACATATTGAAGTGGCCCAAAGCGAAAGTTTGTCCTTAACACACCCCAGAATGGTAGGTCGGCTAGAGAAGATGATTCGAAGCTTAGCTGCGTGGAATGTTTTATTAATTGATTTCGAAATCCGTTTATTTAGGATTTCAGCGAAAAGAAAATTTTCTTCGCTGAATTCTCTTTTTCTTATTTATTAACTATTAAGCAACTTCACTTGACACTTGAAATGATTAACTTTTGGTAACTTTGCTAATGATTCAATAGTCTTCGATATTATCATAGACTTCTATGTGTAAAATAGCTATAAATACAACTGTATGGCTTTGTCGAAAAAAAGTTTTTCCTCGCTGAAATGACATTACTTAGCTTAATATTGAGCAACTTATATCATTGTCAATCATTTTCGAACAATTAACTTATCATGCTTCTTCGTAGTTACATGTGTAATATATTTAAGCGCTTACATGAACTCGTGACATTTAATCGATCTATTATTATACTCCTGACATACTTAGTAGTTTATTTTTATTTCTTGTGAGCCTGTTCCACATTTGTTTGTTTGCAACATTTTCTATTTATAGCTTGCATGGAATAGTTACCTGCCATTGTTAAATTTGACACAGATAACTAAGCTATTACCTAGTTTATCATATGTTTTTTTTCATAATTTATCTTTACATAACTATTCCACGCAATAGTTCCTCGTTGATCGTACATATTTGCATGTAAAAACCTTGAAAACCTCACTAATTGAAGTTTGTAAAATGTTTAGCTTGTGTTTTTATTGATAATAGTACCGTATTATGAAATAATCCACTGTACCGATTTTTCAATTCTAAACATAACTCAGTCCTTTTGTCTGAAATTCTAAGCAGAAATCGAAAAAGATGAAATAGGTGAGCATAAAAAAAAACTTCAGAAAGCAGCTTACAACTTTATTGTCGGTTCTTTGATAATCTAAATAAAATAGATTGGGTAGCATAGCATGAATATACAACTTGTAGTCATCGTTTTTACTAATTGGATTACCATGTAAACATACTGATTGTAAATGGCGAAATTGACGTAAATATTTTATGTGTATTAAATGAAAATATTGATTTCAAAAAGAATTAATCTAATTCATTTTCTTAATCATCTCATGAACAAACCTTAATACTGGAATATTTGTAAATAAAAAATGTGATATATTAATACAGAGGTGGATAGGTAAGTTTGATTAAGTTAGTTAGTTTTCAATATGGATTAATAAAAGTGGATAAATGATTGAAAATCGATAATCAAGAAGTATCTTGTTTTGATACCAGACCCGGATATTCTGAGTTCAATCTCATATGGGCGTGTAAGTGTGTATCATCTTGAAATTACGCAACTAGTTGATATAAGTATGTAATACCTATTTGGTTTGCACTGATTTTTCAGCAAGTTAAGACGAATGACTAATTGAGAATGAAGATTTTAGTCGCTAAAATAAATGAAAGTGCTAATCGATAGATAAAATGTGATAAAACGATATGGTTTAGTGATGGATACTCATGAAGCCAAATATACTAATATTAATGATAATACCAATAGCCAAAGAAATAAATCTTATTTGAAAATAATATACCTATATACATATTATTAACCAACACAACCAACTAGAGGGAATCGGTTTCAGTGAACGGAATACATCCATCAAGACATCTAATAAGAAAGATTAATTCAGTGAAGAGTTCTCTTTTCGGTGACTTCATTTTCAAAGCTGTACAATCGCTAATATATACTTATTTTTACCGGATGATAATAAACTTCTCTTAGACATGGTGACACTGAGGATAAATAAAGGCATTTAAAAATTTTTAAGCAAGTAAATCTTAATAATCGTTTGATTGTTAATGGCTTAAGTATCCATCAAAAGATAGATAGGGAAATTATCATTGGGACAGTATGACTCAACATGATAAGATAAAATGTAGAAATTGAGATTAATCAGGAGGATCGTAGAAACAGAAATGAACCAGTTGGGGGTAGAAGACTTATGTGGAAGCAGATGGCTGTAAAGGAAGAAGAGTATGAAGAAATAAAAAAATATAAAACGTTAAGACCATGGTAGAAGATTTTGCACCAATCTTCTTTGTACACACAATTCTGGTTTTTCCAGATGTATGGCTATTGTTTCGGCATTGGTCTAAGATGTAGTCCAGATTTGTGTATTTTTGGCAGAGCATATAATCGCGGTATTATTGGTCCTATTGGTTTTATGCTCTCAAAGTCATGTTCGTCGATTGACTGTTCACTTTTCATTCTCTTAAAAACTTCAATCAGTTGCTCTTCTATAATTTCAGCAGCACTAAACCCGCACGTTTATCTGGACGTCTTTATCAAGTTTTTATTGTTTCTAAGTAGTTTTAGTTGATTTCTATGTTTTTTTAGTTAGAAGACTTTTACCTGTTACTTTTGTGCTAATATACTGGTAGCAGCTATCGAGAAGAGTAGATTTGAAACGTTGAAATTCTTGGTCAAAGACTGGACTACGACCATTTGTTTGTTTGATTAAATTTTCGAATTAAACATGTGTATGGATTTTAATAATTTTTTCATTTATGTCAAAAAATTTTATCCCCAATGATAAGACTTCTAATTGTACATTTGTCAAGGATATTGAAGTATGATTGCTAGGAAATTTATGTTGTGTTTCTGTGGTTTCTAAGCTTTGAGTGAGATCCGATATTAGTTTTTTCGTACGTTTGTCAATAACTATAGTAACATATTCGTCGAAAGGATCGTGTTCGTTAGGTGATAACTCGTATAACACAGATCTCTGAAAAATCTTAAAGTTCAATAACGGGATGCGTGGACGAATAGAATCGATAACATTTTGTGCATGAAGTTTAAGAGATTTTGAGTTTGGATAAATGTTGTTTCTTCAAAGAATTTTCCAGCAGTATTTAGGAAACTTGTGCGTGTCAACGCAATCCATAAGAAAGATAATCTTCGCATTCACTTCCTCGAATTTGACAGAATAATGAAGAAAACCATTAAGTTCCTTTACTGTCGAAGGGTCCTTAGAATTTTCTAAGTTTTGAAGGTCACTTACTCTCCAATAAATTAGGACCGGACTTTAAGGTTTAGCTTCTGGCCGTAACATCACGTCTAGTTACGAGATGATTAGCGATCCTTTTTGATAACATCGGTGAAAAGGTAATACTTAAGAAGTATCTCACATATACCCTAGCTTTCATGCAAATCATGTTTCTAACCCATCTATAGATTACGGCTGAATTATTGACACAAAATTTAAGACACTTTCTGTGATTTCTTGATTTTAAGGAGTGAATAAATTCTTACTTAGTTATAGCTTTAAATGTACTTTAGCGATTAAGAATAGGTTAGTACACCTCTGTTTTGAATCAAACTTATTATTTGAAAGCTAGTGATACTGCGGAATTGTTCAGATAAAAGTGAGTGGAACGATTTTTAAAATTGTAGTCCAGTAGTCGAAGGTTAAACAATGTAGCCTATATCTCATCACTTTCTACTAAACACTTGAACCATATCCCTGATATTATAAAGATCAATTAGCACGTAATGCGGATTTTCTTCAATGTAATAATTATTGATAACGCTACTCATATCTAACGATCAAACTTGTTCACTTAATGAATAGACTTAATAACGTCCAAACTCCAATTGGTGTGTTGTGATTTGAATTATTTCTTTTATTAAAAAATAAACTCACATAGTATATATGCATGCATATATTCTAGAGTCATAAAGTGGATTTGATTTCTATTTGTTATTAGGTATCATTACTAAAGTTTCACTCGCCAATTTATAATAAATTGAGGATTAGTTAGATTATTAATAATGAAACTAAAGGTAAATCTATAGTATCCAAATGAGAATAAAATTAAATTTCTGACGCTTAGCAACTTAATGTAAGCCACTTCTTCGGAGTAAAGCAAATAACGTCAGAAATATAATTTTTAACTACTTGAGACATTACAAAAACATATCGTTTAATCTATCATTGATTGTTTTTTAAATTTCATAAAAAACGGGATATTTTGCAATGTTCATTAAGTAGTTATGTTAAAATCTGCTAATTACAAACCACTAGTTTCCAAACACTTTTTATTTGAATTATAATAACCGCTTTTTGAATCACTTACTGGTAACTTCACAAACAACAAACAAAGATGTAAATACCCACTAGATCTTCGGGTTCAGTTGATAGTGTTATCTACTTAACGCATATTTATGTCTTACATCAAATTCATTATGTTAACTTGTCAATTAAATGAGTTACAAAAAACGAGTAGAACAGTAAAACATTGATATGAAGAGAAAATAATCAGTTAGTCATCGCAGCAAAAGAACGAAGTGTCAAAATTTGAATGTCTAAGGTGAAATTCACATACATGAGGAACATATATTTAATTTACAGTATATTATATTTTAGTGATACTCTTAACATCATTATAAAATTTAATCCAAGCTGAAATCCAGAAATCATGTCTTTACCATCTAAACTCTTGAACACATACTAATGAATAGTTTTACTTACATTAGACAATTCAGTAATATAGTTGTTACCAATTGAAAACATTTGTAATTTTTTTCAAATTTTCCATATTTTCTAATGTGGTAATTCGGTTATTGTACAATGTTAAATCTTCTAAATTTACCAGATTTTGTAAGCCGTCAATTTTTTCAATATTATTAAATGATAAAGCTGAGTGATTATAAAAGTAGTAATTACATTTCACCATCGAATTACATTCTTACCAAGCCAACGTGAGTTAAATGACCGATACCTTCTATTTGTTCTATGATGTTATTATCAAGCTGCAACTTAACAAGTAACTTAAATGCCCACAAGTTATCGATTTTTAAGATGTCTAGTAAACTGTTTGCATAAAAATAAAATTGAAAACTAGTTTACTTTTATAATCCAATCTCGGGTGTGTAACATTTTCAAAATGGATTCCATCTTGTTTAGCAAGTTCGCTCACAGTTCTTTTTTGCAATAATGAAAATACAGCATCATTTAGTAACTGTTTATCAATCACTGTTGGTTCATAATTGTCATATAATCGACTCATTTAGTTGAGTTCTAATGAAACACAACAACAGAATAAATATCTATAAATAATAAAGGCAAAGAATAAACAATCAAATTATGAAGAAAACAAGCTATATATTCGTTATTTGATCTTCATAAGTCCCTCATTATAAATAAAACAAGAAATGAAACTTATTTATATGTTTATCTTATGATGACAGTTTGAGATTGGAAATATATCACCTAATAATGCTATAGGGCCAGTGAAATGTCACTGAGCCCTAGCCAAATCATCCGGCAGTTGGATAACTGAATGTCGAACAGATCATCGCTCCCTGCCAAAGTCAAGTACAACCAACGCGCATTGGTTAATCATATGCCATGGACTGGCCCATGCGGCATTGGTCTTACTTTCGCATGTATCTACCTTAACTAATATATTTCTGTAATAACGTCCCCTGTGTTGTACAGTCTTCAAAGCATCTATGGTACCTTGATACATCAATGGGGTAGTCCACGTAAGGTGCTGACCATGAGGTGTGACTTCGATGTTAGCTAGTTTGTCACACCATTCACGTCTAACTCGAGTAGGCCTGCAATCATTTTCGACATAGATCATCTATGTTGGTGATCTACAATGCACTCTGTTTGTCTTTGACTTGTATTTTTCTTTCAAACTTAATTTTCGGATTCTGTCAATGGAAACCTTAATAACTTGTACTCAGTCTGCATCGGTTTTGCTGGGTCAACAGTGGCATTGTTTCGTATATGACCAGTCAAGAGTGTATCAGGAGTTCTTGAGAATTATGTAGACATATTGAACAAGCATTCGTACAGTGTATAGTCCGATGATGGCTTGAACAAACTGGAATAAAAAAGTTCAGAAGACAGTTCTCAATGACAATGATTCATCACTTATGCTAGGTATTGTCAGTATTGGTTGTGTAGTCTTTCAGACGACCGATCTGACAAAAAGAGAACTAGTCACAAAATATTCATATGTGGTTGAAATGTGGCAGTTGTCTACGTAGCTCCTTGGCAGCACGAATCAGCATCTAAGCATTTGTGTTCTTCGGATGATTTACTCCAAAGAATAACCAAAACAACACTACTTGTCCCATAATAAACTCCTGTTTCTGCTTCTAAGTACAACAAATCTAAAGCTTTACAAAATTTCAACCCCTTCAGATTTTTGCTTTTACAACCCAAGCAACCAATGAAAGAGGAAATAAAGATGAACAAAAGGGAAATAAAGAGTAAAATGCATTGGAAAATAAAGGGGAAAACGCGCCAAAATGTCGCCTTTTTCGCCTGTCCAGGGAAAATAATTCGGATTTCCCCCCCCCAAACGGTCTCCTATGTTCGCCTTTATTCCCACAACAATTAATTAGCTATAAGGTTAGTGAAATAAACATCAAAATCAACACAAAGTATTACGCTTTTGCAAACAACATTATCAATGAGATATAAATAGCAATCTCTATAAGTTTGGCCTTCTCAAGACATATCCTAACATTTGTGTTGTTTGATTCACAGTATTCTACAAGCAGAATAAGTAACTATGTAACTGATTTTAATATAGATTCCAGCATAACAATTTTCAGGAGAGAATTCTGAATTGATAGGTGACATAACCTAGAATGTTTGCTTTTATGAAATTTAGGGAATGAAATATCTAGATATCTAGAAAATGAAGTAAGCACCTAGATCAGATGGCTGCCATCGTCATTAGGGTAATTTCACAGGTGAGAAAAGTATTTGACCTTCAGTTAATAAACTCAAGCCTCGTTTCTATCGCACAATTAGGTATATTGACCCATTTAGTCAATTAATCACTACTCTTCGCTCCTTAGACAATATTCAGTAAAAAATCATGTAAATAATTGTGATTAACGAATTGTTTTCTTAATTTTGGTTTTCTTTTTTCGAAGAAGCAACAACTCAACAGAAGTATGAGATGATTCAACAACTTACCAATAAATCACCATAGCTTTTCAAATCATATGCTGCGTTTAAACAATTTAGATATACAACAGCCAATATTTTAGGTCTAACTAGTGTAAACCAAATGGTTTGCTTGCGCTCGCTTGACATTGGGAGTCTGTTTCAATTAATTTAGTTAGCCACGTACTTGTATTAGTGTTTATTAACAGCTGTCTACCCAAAATACTTCGGATCCGTTGACCAGAAATTATCAGCGACAATCTACTATGGGAGAGAACAAACCAGATCCCACTAGGATAAAGAATTACGCAGAGGCTCTGGAAGTTGACGGGACAAACATTGTGGAAAGCACCCAACTGCGTCACAAGGCAAGCCCTCACATTGAATCCTTTTGTGACCCGCTGATCTGACTGATATTTAGATTCTACGAATGAATGTTATCACCTATTTTCGTATATCATCGTCGACTTAGATCGCGTTAGTCCATAACGGAATTAAATAAGTCGATTAACGAGAATGGCATTTGAATACATATATTTTGTATATGAAGTGAATGAAACAGAGCCAAGCAAAATGACGCACAGGGAGGATGGCTGGGAAGCCAACTCCATTTTAATTAAGCGTTACTCAATATTTATAGGCAGACAAAATAAACTACAGACATGTGATGAGTCATGGGACATGAAGTGTACACACATATACGCTCATATGAAAACAGTCAAGGCTAATAAGCGAATAATTAACAAGGTCAAAACATGACTCAAGTAGAATGAATAGAATGGAATGTCCGGAAACTAGAATAAGATATATTATGGGCTAAAACTAATGACTAGCACTACATAGCCCCCTCGTACAAAATAGCACATTTAAAAAATGTCTGTTTTCGAAAATAACACTGAAGTGATATGAAGCTAACGTTAACAATAAGTAGCCAAGAAAAAATTGTACAACACTCGATAAAGTACAGTGTCACATGAGGGGTGAGTGTATTATATGAAAATGTCATACTTATGCAAAAGAATACATGAATATAGAAAAGACGCGGACAAAAATGGAAACGTTAGCATGCGAATATGAGCAAATTAATGAGCGTACAAAAAATTAACATGTACTAATGCTATGACTGTCTGAACGATAAAATAACACGTTTGTATGAGTGATTCAAATTATCGTGAAAATAGTAATAAATTGTTTGTGGGTATGACAGGGAAATAAATCGTCAAAATGAGTACAGTAGAATATGACAGAAATTGGTCTGTGATGCTGACGAAATAGTGAAATACGTTAAATATATGTTCTGTTGAGCCGCAGCAGAATAAATAGCATTGAATAGCGATGAGTGAATTCGAATTTAAATGCGTAACTCCCGTTCGTAGGATGATAATAGTTAAGTCGTGAAATGATAACTGCATCGACGGACAATATTCGTTGCTGTACTGCAATTGATAATAATCATAAAATTTGAAGTCAGTGAACGTTGTCGTCTGCGTTATGACAGATGCACCGAGTTATCGTTGAATATGTATTAGTAGAATGACCAGAGGAACAGAATAGTGACTGAGTAGACGAGGTTCATAGAGTCGTATTCGTTTTTGGTCATGAAGCCTAGAGTGGTTTGTGTGGTTTGAGGGAGATGCGCTCGATCTCGTTTGTTACAAAACCGTACCAAGGCATGACAAAAATACCAATACATATGGTTAGCGATGGCGACGTATGAGACTGACTTGGATGTAACGAACAAGAGTGCATCTTTGAGAGACTAGCTCTAAACTCTATGTTCTGATATACAGTGCGATGGGAATAGAATAGTAGTTGCAGTACTCGAATAGCGTTTCCGAGTGATAAGTGATGCAGAATGTAGTTATGCACGTGGAAGAATAGATAAAATGAACGTAATGGTTACTAATCAGCTAGTTAGAGGCATCCACAGACATAATGGTAGGCGACTTCGAAATGAAAAATGTATGTTGTGATAACATAAATTGCTGACCTCGACTAAGTGAATGAATGCAATATTAGATCAAAATGACATGAAAAATTGGAACGAACTCACTTAAAGCAGGAAAATTTCACGTTTTTGAATAGTAAAAATATCCCAATGAGTTCTCACAAAGTGGAGTGTAATTTTCATAAAATGATAATTTGTTCGGTGAGTGATATGATTGCGAAAATGTCAATTTAGTGACAGCACGAACAAGATTAATAATTCCACATTCGGTCATGATATTGATAATAATGTAATAATAAGCATATAATGATAATTTGAATCGTAATTGAACAAACCGACGAATAGATCAATGAGAATGGTTGACATGAGTACAAAGTATCGATAAGATAATACGACTTGAGCATGTCCATACCATGATGCACAGGCTCTGCTGATTGCGTCGGATTGGATATTGCGCTGGCTTCGCTGAATTTGTTCGTCGAAGGTATAAAGTGCAGAAGTTCCTTCATCGACGTAGCTTGCTGCGTTGCGTTCGTCGTCGGCGGGCTTACCACTTTAGTGGCCCATGTATCTGACTCCCTTTTAGATTGTATGGATGCTTGTTATCGCCTTTTCTCGTATATCATCGTCGACTTAGATCGCGTTAGTCCATAACGGAATTAAATAAGTCGATTAACGAGAATGGCATTTGAATACATATATTTTGTATATGAAGTGAATGAAACAGAGCCAAGCAAAATGACGCACAGGGAGGATGGCTGTGAAGCCAACTCCATTTTAATTAAGCGTTACTCAGTATTTATAGGCAGACAAAATAAGCTACAGACATACAATGAGTCATGGGACATGAAGTGTACACACATATACGCTCATGTGAAAACAGTCAAGGCTAATAAGCGAATAATTGACAAGGTCAAAATATGGCTCAAGTAAAATGAATAAAATAGGATGTCCGGAAGTTAGAATAAAGGTTTATGGGCTTGCCATAATAACTGACACTACAATCCTGAATGCCATGGAAAAGGAGAAAGTCCAAAGAATAAATTACGTCGGGAAAAGGAGAGATACATCAAAAACGTGAACAAAATTCGATAGAACTGGAAACGAAGGCCAAGGATAGAGTGGGTAGGAGAATGCTGATCGGCGGCCTATGCTTCTATTGGGAGTAACAGGCATAAGTATTGAGTAAGTTATCTACTTGTACTAATCTCATTAATGTTCCACTCGTTTGTTCGTAGATGTTGTTGTTGAATTGAAAACGTGTTGTTAAGCATAAATAATTGAATTCTAGTAGACTTTGACATTGACGCTCCGTGTTCTTTGCGAGATTTGTGTCGTTAGTGAAGAGCAAGGATAAAGTTTCCTTTCACAAACTTGGTTTAATTGAGATGATTAAAGCTGATACCTCAAAGAATATCTTCACTTCGACGATGTAGTTAAGAACCCTCTTATACTTATCCGGTAGTTGCATATAAGATGTAATGGAGTGATCGTGAAATTCCTCATCACAAATTGTGTTGGTGATCCAGGGGGTACTACAACCGAACGTAGTGAAATGTTTGACTGAAGTGCTTGGTTCCATTGGTTGTCTTGAAATCTTAATTGGGTTTTTGTTGAGGGTGGATTTTTCTGTCATTTGTGTTGTAAGCATTATACCATTATGGTTGTTGTCAAGATTATTAGGTGTCCTGATTTGCATATTCTCCCTAACTTTCTCTTTTCGTTATCCACGGATAATTTATACTGTAGCGGTAAATAAATCCCCAAAATAAATAGCACTAAGTTTTCGACATTGGATGCTGACCATATGTTTTAGTGGACTCACCTAGCTGAAGGCGCTCGGTCAGGCATCCGCACCAGATCACGTGTGGTAGCGCCGTGCTCAACATCAACCGCAATCGCTAGCCAGATTAGATCAGAGAATTCCGATATATTGGTCATCGCCAAATATACTCTTCCGATCTCCTCGACTCTGTCTTTTGATTTCTCTGGGCGGGAACGAAATATATTAGAAGGTGTTACTGGTAGAAGCGTTGTCAAACACTGAATACCTGTGACATCATCATTGGTGAAACCAACGTGGTCTGGTACACCTAATTGCAACTGTGAGTCTGTTCCTTTTTGGGATTTTTATATATCATTGCCTTAATTTTTACTTTTTTTGAGCACTGATTTTTTTTTCGTGTTTTTTTCTTGGATATATATATATTTTCCCCTCGTTCATTATCGTACTTCATGCTTCATCATAACTGAACAGACACCTAAAGTTCTCAAGCTTAAGACTTTGTCCGCGCCTTCGTTTCAACTGATGCCTTTCTTGCCCGACAACATCGAAGCCTGGTTTTGCTACGCAGAAGCCGACTTCTCCGAGCACGGCGTGATCGACACACGTGCACAATTCCTCGCAGTAGTCAAGGCACTACCGCGCGAATTTAACAGGTACGTAACATCTAGTATGTTTACTAGTGATGTTTCCGATCCTTACGAAATCTTAAAACGCTCGATTCTTAAACGAGGAGACCTAACCGATCGACAAAGGTTAGATCAACTCTTCAATAACATCGACCTGCAACACGGTTCTGCGACGGACATGTTGCAACGGATGAGAGAGGTAATAGGCCCAAGAACTTTCGACGAAGGTCTATTCAAACAACTCTTCTTATCAAAACTTCCCCAACAGGTGCAAGCAGTTCTGGTCTCGTTCCAGAACAACGCCTTAGACGAACTAGCTGCATCTGCCGACCGCATTTTAGAAATTACGAAATCTACTACCGAGGTATTTTCAGTCAAAGAAAAACCTCAAACGACTCAGAATGATATGACCGACTTATGTTACACACTCACGAGATATCTTAGTCTTCGTACCGACCGTAAGAGATCGCGCACACCACGTAGAAACATTTCTCGTAAGCGATCTGTCTCTAGACCACGAGAGACAGATAACCCCGACTGGTGCTGGTATCATAATCAGTATGGAAAGCTTTCCAGAAATTGCAGAAAACCCTGCAATTTTCCCAACACGAAACCGACTGATTCGAAAAGCAATTCGAGAAACTTCCAAGCCGGCACGCGTTAACGGCAACCGTAGCCGGCGAACAAAGCCGTCTGTTAT